AATGTTATAACAATTGAGGATTGGTCAATAAAAAAAGAAATGGTTTAACTGATTGATCTCACTATCAACTGTATTACCATCTTCCTACCTTTTCAATTGTTACCTGCAAGTTTAACAGCTCCAACTTGTTCCGTTTAATTTTCAAGGTAAACAAACTTTTGATGCGAAAAAATTGATTTACTGTTTGCGCTTTGCATTTCAATTTGACCTTTTAATCAATTGTACTGTTTATTGTTTTTTTCTGGATTCACCATTTTCCAAGATTCAATTCATTTCCATGTTGAAACAATTTTCTCTTCATGTTCAATTAGGTAAACCCAGACATGATGTTTACATCATATAACAGCAGAAGACGCAAACTTGACCCATTCCTGTTGAATCAATCAACTTTGCTTTTAATTTTTCATCAATTTCCATCTTTCGATTGTAAAAATTCAATTAATTCTTGGTGTTGCCAGCAAATTCATTTGCGAATGAAACTTGTTCAATTTTGATTAACATTGAACATTCCAAGCTCTCAACGGCTTATATCAATTATCATGATTTCATCTCAAAACTGATTGTTTTGGGTTAACCTTGATTAGTTGAAATACAATGAGCTTGATTTAAATTTTAAACCCTATTTAACCCATTTTTTTGGTGGAAACTTTTGCCTATTAATTTAGTTAACAATCAATTAAACCTTTTCTCAATTCATTTCTCATTTTGTTTCAAACTTGTAAGATTCGTGAAACTATTATAATCAGATTAATCTTGAAATGTTCATGAAAATTGTTGGAGAAACGCAATAATTAGTTGAATAATTTTATTATCACTTTTCCAATTAAACATTTTTTCCTCTTAAACTCAACACTTGAAGTGAACATTTGAAGTAAAAAAATGCAAATTGAAAGTTTACAGCTCAAGTCGACTTGAATTTTGAAAAAAAAACTTCATTTTCAACTTTGAATCGAGAATCATTTGGACCAATTTTTCTACTTGAAATCAATTGGTTGTGATTGACAGTTTTTTTTCAGTTTGGCGTTAAATAAATCAATGAAAACAAGAAGAACAACAAAAGTTCCAAGTACATTTTTGGACCTTTTGATCAATCAAATCAATTGCTTCAAGATATTTATAAAAAAAGCCATTTCAATGACAAGCCTAAAGAGCAAAAAGTTGCTCACTTTTTTCATTTTGAAAAATGACAATAAAAAAAAGTTCTTGATATCAAAGGCAAAATCCAAGTGTGATTATAGTTTTTTTCAGATATCACTTTCATCCTTTACTGATGACCTGTCTTAAAGTGTAATCTGGTAAATCCACTTGTCCACTTGAAATCATCATGGTAATCATTTTCACTGACCCAATGATGAACCCAACATTTGCACATTCAAGAGTTGATAATATTTTTGAAAAAAATGTTCTCAAATGTTTACATCTCTATCTGATGATCATAAATGCATCATTAGAATGATTTACTTTGTTCAACTTTTTTTATTCAAGTTATCAGGTAAAATGATGAGGGTGTTGCAAATGAATATTTGATTGTTGTTAAGAGATAAATTATTGTGATATTTTGATAATCATTTTCATCATTTGATATTTACATTCTTTGGCCACTTTGCCTGTAAAGGTTAAAGGTGAACACAGTGATGTACAGAAAGATGAAGCAAGATCCTGGAGAGGAGTGAGCAATGAATATTGTTGAACATTATTGAAGTTGTTTTATTGTTTTACCTTCATCATTTACTGATTAATAGTTAAACTATTTTAACAAGTTTCTCATTTCAGTTATCATTTTTGCTCCTCGCCATTATTATTGCTTTATCATGTACCTTTAAAGATTATGTGATGTTGTTAAAATAATAAATAATGTTAATATCATGCAAATGATGAAGATAACTTTTTTTTCAATTTTCATGTTATTTTTGTTCATGAATCTTGATTATGGTTTTATCCTTCTCACCTTAACATTATGCTTTTAATCAACACACACACAGAATTAGCAAGATTATCTTAATGATTATTGTTGCTATACCATCAATACATTAATGATTATCTATTTATGATTAACTATTTTAAACAAAAAGTAGGTTTAACTTGAATGCTGTGGTCAAAACTGGTTTATCAGTTTAAAAGCTTTCCAAATCTTGTAAAGTCAATTGTTAATTTTTGATAGTTTTTATCTGCTAACTGTTAATTAGTGAGTTGCTCAGAATTTTTAATCAATTATTTACATACAAAAAAGGCCTTTTTGTCTCTCCTTCATTATCTTCAACCTTTTATCCTAATGTTTGATAACATTTTTGGCGATAAATAATGTTAAAGATTAAGCTTTTTTGATGAGAAAAAAAAGATGATGATGATGATAATGAAATCTGCTTTTGAGGTCTTCTCAGGATGACCATATGATAGACTGACAGATAAGATGGGAGGTTGAAACTTGCATCAAACTTAAACCCTGTAATTAAGACACTTACTCTGCATCAAGTTGATCATCAAAACATGAACCAATCACAATGGTTCCTACCTTTTTTTACCAGCCTCTGCACAAATTTAATCGACCCGGTACTCATGCTCGGTGGTCTTCACATAATCATAAAGAGGCAAAGAGAATCAAGAAAAGCGTTTTAACAATATTAATCGAGAACAATTGGTTAGGAAAAAAAATTGCTTTTCTCATCATTTTTACTTTTCTACCTTTTCTACCTTTGATGAGTTTGATGATGATGATGATGATGTTTTTACCAAGAAAAAAGCATGATAATGGTGATGATGAAATGCGCTTAAAAGCGTGATCTCTCAAGACCGTGATCCCGAAACAAGCGTAATATCTGTTAGCATTTTCATCCTTCATCTTTCGTCTCATTTGCAACATTTTATTTCATCATTATCACCATCTCTCGTTGCTCTCTACCTGAAGCGTCTCTCTTCTCGCCTTGGGTGTAAGATCGTGTTTGCGTGTTTTCCCAATCAGATGTGCTCTTATATTCAATTTCACATTCCATGAGAAAATCACGTGACGAATTTTATTCGCCAAAAGAATAGAGTCGCCATGTTAACAATTTGTTTATCAAAATACATGATACAAAATTGATACTGCTGATGATATGACTAAGACATGAGTTTGAAAAAAAAGGATTGGCTCTGAATCTATTGATGGTCAATCAAACAGAGTTCCTGTCTTGAAACGCATTTTCCTTGCCTTTATTTAAACGCAATCAACATATAAAAACAACAATAACAGGCGAAGAAAAAAAAGTGACCCTTACAATGTTTTCCTATTATCATCATCATCATCTTGATCATCATTAACACAAACTGAATCTTTTTGTTTTCCTTATCACTCTTATTGATCGCCTTTCACTTGCTCCTCTTTCCTTATCATCCTTTCTCTGTCTCGGTTGAGGAACCATCTAAGGAACAGCATCTTTTGTCAAAAATAATGTTTAGTCTTTTTACATGCTTAAAGGTTCTCCTAACAGATATTATTGAATATCAAGAGAACAACAGAAAAAAAAGTTTTGCTTTTGTGGTGATGGTAACTGAAACTTTCTTCATCATTTTCTTCATCTTCTCTTCATCTACCATGATTGTATTTGAATGTAGATAGAGGCACAAAAAAGGATTACATGGTTGCTTCCTTAAAAGCCTTTAAATGCTGTTTTTGTCTGTTTCTTCTGTTGATGATTGGTGATGATGATAAAGCTTTGATATAAGTAAACGACTGTGAAAATAGCATCAACAGTAACAAAGCATCTAATAACAAATCAAACACAAAAGTAGCTGACAAATGCATTACTTAATCGCATTTTACCTTCACTTGCATGATAAAAGTGAAAGAAGAGAAAGATTAAACAGCAATGTCTATTAGTTATAAATTGTTGTTAACATGATCATTATTTGCATTGTGTCCACAGATATTATCATTAGTTTATTGTCAACTGTTCACAACAATTAAGCCTCAATTTTTTGGCTCTTTTCTCGTTTTTTTTCATTTTATCAAAACTCTATTTAAATGTTTGAACGAGTTTTGCAAAAAGACTGAAAATTGTAGACGAAATGGAAATTCCGATGAAATGTTTTCTTTTTCCTGCATTTCAATTATTGCTGTCAAAATTGTTGTCATTTGATTGTTGATTTGTACCATTTCAAGTGTGCTTAAAGCGTAACTGAACAGTTTAAGTTGCAATTTGAAATGCGTGTTAATCTGTTAACAAAAATCAGAATCCATGTAAACATGGAAAGATGTGAGAATGGAAAATGAAGAGTAAAGACAAAAACTGAAAGGTTTTTCACCCTTTCACTTTACTGACAATCACAGGCATGAAATATCGTCATCAACACTTTACAATAGTTTACTGTATTCTTGTATCGTACAACCTTTACAATTGAAGTTTCACTCAAATTGACTTTCATCTGTGCATTCAATGCACAATATCTAATACACTGGTTCAGTATTCATTGTGCTATTCAATGAAATTGAAACACTTGTAAAGAAGAGGAAGAAGGCAAGAAAAGGATCAAGATTTAGAGATTCATGGAAGAGTAAAAGAAGAAGAAGAAGAAAAAGTACAAAAAGTGATATTTTTACATGGATCAATGAAGTTAATACCGTTAACATCAGGAAGAGTTGTAAACATTGCGTAGGAATAAAAAGTGATTAAAGAAATGAAATGAAACAAAATTAGATGTTGAACAATTTGAACAAGTTGACAAGATGATGGTGATAATGGTAAGTGATCCATTAGGATAATGTGAAATAATAAAATGCTATTCCTTATGATGAATTTTATCCCCATTTCTTATCCTTATTTTCATGTGGTTTCACCATTTTCTCAAATCGACTGTAATAGGAAAAGATAAAACTAATAATAATAAAATATCCAACATTGCATTTCTGTCTAAAAGCCATTATCTGATTGATTAAGTTTTGTCACCTCTAACTCCCATCTTCAAGTAAAAAAGTTGAAATTTGAAATCAAGATTAACTTATAATTTTTCATGTTCCCTTTCAGGTATCAAAGGAAGAGTACGATTCTTGCCGCATAACCAACAGCAATCCTCGAATTATTGCTATCTGTGATAAGCCTCATCAATTAAAATATTTTACAATCACCTTTAGATCCTTTACACCTCAACCCGGAGGCCTTGAATTCAAACCTGGCCAAGATTATTATTTCATTTCAACGTCAACCGGTAAACGGGAAGGCCTTGATCGTCGTTTAGGTGGACGATGTTCAACCCACCACATGAAAGTCATTTTTAAAGTTTGCTGTTCAACCAATGATAACAACGTCTTGAACGACAAAAGTGATGCCAATAACATTAAAAATAATAGCAACATAAATAGCACCATAAATAACAACCAATGTAAGTATCAAGAATCATTTTTTATCAGAAAAGTTACATTAAAAAATTGAAAGTAAAATTGATGCTAATTTATTGCAATATTAATATCAAAAGAAAATATCTTTTCTCTCTTCATCAATTGTTATCTAATTTAGCTTATTTCATCTTTCATTTTCTTCTTCTTTGATTTATTCAACATTATCATTGATTCAGTTTCAGGAATTGAAGAAGCACAAAAAAGAGGCCAAAGAATAGGTCTAATATTAACAATAACAGTTAACAATAGTCTTAATAATGATAATTTATCAAATTTTATTTATTTTGTCTGTTGGCATTAATATTGTTTTGTCTGATAAAATGTATTCATATTTAAACGATAAATTGTTTAACATCTTAATTGACTGTTTATTAAGGGAAACAATTAGCTCAATATGATTCCATTTACTGTGTGTGTTTGCCATTCACCAAAAGATAGTTGACTTGTTTCCAGCAGATCGTTAGGTTTTTGCTCATCATTTTCATGTTCAGAGGTTCACCAAATTTATCTTTTTTTATGCTTCCATCCTCATCCTTCATTTAGTCACAAAGGATGTCTTAAATGATGTTACTAACCATTCTCAATGGATATATAATGTTACTTATTCCGTTATTTTGTGTTGTCTAATTTTGCCTCTTTTGTTGTCTTCAACACAACTCATTTAACCGTTTTGTTGCCTTCATTTGCTTTTTATCTTTTCCTTTCTTCTTCCTATCTTCATCATCTTCATTGATTTCTGTCTGCAAAGATGAGAAGAAGATGAAAAGAGAGAAGAAGAAGAGGAAAAAAATTACACTCGAGTTTGAGGATGAGCAAATAATGGAATAAATCTGATGATCCATTTTGCCCCTTTTCACTTTTCTTTCTCATTTTATCTTCTCTGTCTTTCTGACTCACATGAAGATACTCAGCATCTCGTCACTAAGGTTACCATCTTTTTTAGCTTTAACCAATTTATTATTCTTTTCAATGACAATGGAATGATTGGAAGAGGAAAAACTAGGGATGACAAATTCACAGGAAAAAAAGAGAGAAGCTAAAAGAATGAAGATTAGGATAATTGAGATGAAATGGAATGACAAAAGGATGAGGAAACAAAATCACGTAAGAGGGCGTAATAATGATGTCAATGAATAGGAAGATGGAAATGAATGGAAACCCTTTCAAAGCTAAGCTCATAAGCAATCTGTACTTTTCACTCTCTTTTTAGGTCATCTCATTTTTCATCCCTTTCACCATCACCATTATCATCATCATATTCACCATCTTCATCCACTTTCATTAAACCATTTTTATCTTCTCTCTCTCTCTCTCTGAGCTTTAAATTGCATTGATTCAACAATTTAATTTGAAAAGTTTATCACAAGTAAACATAATTGTCTTCAATTGACAATTTGCTTCTTTTCAAAGTGACCCTTGAGATGGACCAAATTGAATTAGTTTGTTAGGTTCACTGATTTTCATATTAATGTTATTTATGGTAATAATATTGTGCTTTTCATTAAACATCAATTTTGCTTATTAACTTTGTTTCATAATTTAAATCAATTGTTTTGTTCGTTCATTCAATTAATCTTTTCTCTCTCTTCTCTTGCAGCTTTCTCATCAACAACTGTCGATTCATCGTCTTTATCATCATCAGAATTGTCTATAGAATCGTCCTCATCATCTTCCATTGCATCTTCATCCCTTTCATCTGCGTCCTCTTCACCTTCACCTTTGGTCACTTCATCAAACCTCATTTTTACATTAACATCATCACCTTCACCCTCCATACAAAGTAATAAAGATTTTATTAATTCTAATAGAGACTTGCACAGTGATGACCGATCCAATGCCAATGGACTCTATCTTAATGCCAACATTAATAACATAAATTCATTGGTCTCAACCTCATCACCACCTTCAACATCAACAACCTTAGGTTCACTAGTGACTTCAACATTTCCCGCTTCACCGGAACACTGGTGGAGACCGCATTTCACTCGAATCCAAGATCTTAAATGGAGATCAAAAGGACCCGGGAATGTGGTTAAAGAGACAAATCATCACCACTTGACCGTTGGACACGATTCCAATTCCTTTACAAATCCCAATGCTAACAATTCGCAAAACAATAGTTCAAATGATACCTTGCGACCCATTGCTTGGACCATTTTTGCTATCGCCTGTTTCATTTTCATCATCTTTTGGGCGCTTTGGTGTAAAGTTCGTCGGAACAATGTGATGTTACCAATGTCCAAATAGCGAAATATCGTCAAGTTTTTTTCTTTCTAACCTGTAAAAAAATGCTGATCTTTATATATGTATACATAGATGAAAAATTATGTATTGTATGAAAAAACAAAAACAGAAAACTCGAAAAATTCAGACTCTTTTTGTATTAATAACATGTTTAGAGATGAAAGTTTGAGAAAAAAAATCTTCACTTGAAATTCGTAACATTTTTGTCTTGAATATTGTCATTGAGTAAAAATGAAACTGAAAAAATTCCTTTATTAACAATTGTAATTTATGTAAATATTGCTATTATAATATTTATCATGACAAATAAAAATGAAAAAAAAGTAAATAAGAAAAGAGTTTAAAGGTAAATTATTTCAATGGACATTTGATTAAAAATTGATCAACAATTGCAAGTTGATTCAAGAATGGGAATGAATCTTTTTTATGGTAATCTATTAATTCTGGTGATGATTTGCTTTCACCTCAACATTTCATGGCAAATGCTGGTAATCAATCTGTTTCTATTTATCTTTCTTCTATTGATTCTGAAATCAGCTCACGCAATCACATGAAAAGCAACATCTTTTTGGCCATCATTTCTCTTCCTTCTTTCCAACAGTTGAAACAACTCGATGAGATTATTTTGGTAAACATTGAAGTTAACCATCACTTGAAATGAGGATGACAATGATGATCAAGATTTACCTTAAATGAGATTCAGTATAATATAAAATTGTTGGTAATGATGAAGCACTTTGATTCCCTTAGGCAAGTTACTACAGCTCAATCACTTAAGTGTTATCCGCTTCAGGCTTTTCACATTATCAATGTTGACGCCAAAATGTAATCAAGTAAAAAGGTGAACCTGAAAAGCGAGTTGACAATGAATGACAATGAGAAACCAACAATTAATTATTAACTTTTTTCTTCATCAAATTTTCTCTCTTTCAATTCATCATTAGTTTAGAAACCATAATTGCAAGTTTTACCCAAATTTCATCTCAACAGTCTTTTGAAAAAGATTCTGGAAAATGACATTTTCTTGCTATTGACACAAAAAGCCTAAGAATAACTTCTTTGTTTTCAACCTCAATTCAATAACCTAAATCAATTCAATCGATTGAAATACGTTTATCATCGAATCACAATAATCTTGAAATTACCAATCATTTAATTCACTCAATATCAGTTGAACCAATCGATTGGAAAAATATGTTTAAACATTGACCTGATGTTGTTCAGTGTTTTCCCATTTTTTCCCTCAACTTTTCTCTCAACAATTGAAATGAAAAGTTGTTCAGAACTTTTAAGCTGATGGAAGAAGAAAAAATTGAAATTGAAACTGAATTGGAAAGATTTTAAATGTAAAGAATGAACGGAAATTTCAAGTTGTTTGTCGAGATTTGTTTAACATTGAGTTTAGTTCGATGAATGATTTAAGTTGAACATTAATTACAAATGTCAATCGCCGGTGGTCTTTACCAGCATTTCGAGTCTATGCAGTAAACTGTAAAAAATGGAGTTGCACTTGAAATGACAATTTAAACCAAATACAGTAAAAGGAACACAAAAAAAGTTTAAATTTATCATTTCAGTCAATAGTCGAGTCTCTTTAGTCAAACAAAAAGCTATCAAATAAAAACCTTTGAATGACCATTCCTTGTCCTTATCCTCATCATCTTCATCTTTTATCATTTCTCCGGCTTTTACTGTTGTTTACATCTTAACCGACAATGTTGCCTCAATGTTGATGAGCGGAAAAGAGCCAAGTTTCATTTTACAGCAAACACTTTGAAATGAAGCATATAAGTGAAACTAATCATTGTACTGACCGTGACCGACCTTATCGGAAACAGAAGGCCACTTGAAAAGGGAACAGTGATGAGCCCAACTGTAAGTGAAAGGATGAGAAGTGAACACAAAAGCGTCAACATTGATCATCTTCATTACTCGAAATCATTTTTCATCTTCTCCCAACTTTAAATGTAATTTGAATCTTTAACTTTTCAAAATTACCTTTTACAGCAATCATTATTACAACCTTTTACATAGAGCAATGAATCAACAGATCTTTTCATCTTCAATTTACTCATCTTGCTCATCTTTTCCCCAACCTTTCATGTGATTCATCTTTTGTTATCTTTTACCATTAGCTAAACAACCAGAAAACTGAGACGCAAAACCTTTTCCTTCTCAACCTTTCGTCTTTTCAATTGATTAATGTTGATCAATTCATAATGATCATGACCTAAAAGTAAAGTGGTCAAAGAATCTCGATTTAAATTGAATTTTGAAACAATCACGAGCTATTAATATACAATAGATCATCATTATTCCATTGAAATTGATTTACCTTTACGATTAGCCGATCAATTTAGACTTTACTTTTTCACTTCTCATTAACCTTTGTTTTTCAAGGTTCGCACATTTACAATGTTCAATTTGAGCGTAAATTGCCTTCGGTTAATCACGATTGTTGGCTAAAATTAATAAATGAATGAAAAGGCGCAAAAACGTTGATTCATATTCATTAGGAAATAATTTTACTTGAAAACCATGTTTTTCACTCTCAGCTTCTCACAGTTTTAAACATTAATCATTTTATTGATTTAATCATTAGCCATTATTGTAAAACTGTTAAAGTGCTTCAAAACATTGTTCAACATTTGTCCAATTTTAATGGTCATTGCCAAAAAGATTTCCTAAAATCTCTTTTTTCCATTATCTTGTCTCGGTCATCTTCAGCCATTTATTTCAATAAACCAGAAATTCAATGATACTTTTGTTTAAACTCAAACCAATTATCAGTACATCAACCTAATGAAGTGGACATTTGTCGGACAAGTCAAGATTAAAATGATTCAATCGATTTCCTGGTTTTGGGTAAACTAATTAAAAGGTTAACCCAGTCGACTTGTGGTGTTGATTAAAAGGTTAATGATTTCGAATGTTTAAGTGTACTCATTGCTGATGGAGAAACATGCAAATGCTGTTCAATGGTCATCCTCTTGTTCCCTCATCTGTCCAGGTTGCAGAAGGTTGGTTCAATTGTCAATCCACTTATCAATGGTCAGGTAAACATTGCATAAAAAGCAAGTACTCTTGACTGTCCATTGTTAACCATTGTGAAAGGCCAAGGTAAAGGTGAATGGAAATCAACTTTTTTTACCATTTCTTTTCCTTTTCAATTATTCAACATGTTCCTAGGTGGTGATGCTCATTATAACCATTATCATCTTATGGTTTGATGAACAAAAGAAGGTAAAGGAAAAGGATTTAGATTAACATTGTAATCTGAGTTTAATTTTTGGGTTGAAATATTTTAAGCTTGAATATGGTTAATGCGATTGAGAAGAAACAATAATGTTTAAAGTTGGACCAACACAAGAATGCAATAAAAATGAGATTAACTGAAAGATTATTGCATTCAAATCGAGATTTATCTTTCATTATACTCTTTCCTTATTGACCAATTGTCATCATTATGCTAAGGTGTTCACCTTATGCTTACCCTCCGCTTTTCGGGATTTACCTGTTTTCCTTCTTGTAATATTACTTTTGTACTTTACGAGTTTATTGTTGCTCATGTTTTGGATTATTGTTGTTGAATTGCTAATTTTTGTTCATTTGTACACTTTTTAATAGTAGTTTCATTTATGGCTTACAAATGTTTATTCACTGTTTTTACATAATCGCAAGTTAAATCATGTTGAGACTGATTAACATTAAAATTTGGATTTAACTTTGATTGTTTTCCAATTTTGTAAGAAACTGACAAAAGGCTATAAATGTTTGCATGGCAGAAACAATTGCTAAATGCAAATAAGTGTTTATAAAAAAATAATGTTTTCGCATTCATTTGAAATGAATTTCATGTGCAAAATGGGAAAAATTCTGGTTTAGTTAACAGGAAAATGAAGAAAAAAGAAGCTGAATAAACGATATTACTTCTTTACTCGATAACAAGCAGTGCCTTTGTTTTTTGTCTATCATCTTATGGATATGATGAAAAGTCATGATGATGATGCTAATCCAAGAGTGGGTCAAACCGAGTAACAAAATGACGAAGTTGACACTCGCAGGAAAGGCAAAGATGAACAGAGATTAGGCTCTTCATGTCTTGTAGCATGAAAGTCATCTTTATGGTTCATGTCAACAGACCTTTTTTGCCATAATTATCATCAAACCGTTTGACAAATTTGCTCCTTTCATCTTTATCTTCATCTTTTCTCTTCTTTTTCCTCACAAAAATTGCGTTAAATTGTCTTTTGAGTTTCGGCCAAAATAGTTGATAGACATTTCGCTTGAAACAAAGAGAGTCCATTTTGTTGAGCTTTAATTTCGGCTTTCAACTTTTTTCTCTCCATTTCATGGTGAATTGGAAGCTCGAGTAAAAAGAAAGCAAAAAAAATGAGTTTAATGCAAGTTGTTCTTACTTGGCTTCATTCAGAATAAATAACAAGTGAAAATATGAAAGAAAATGGAAAATAAAGAATTTTTTCATGGCACAAAGAAGTTCAACAATTGCATGGAAATGACGAAAGCTCATGAGAGATGCAAGAATGAAATGTTTGCTCAAAAGAGGATAAATGTTATTAACTTGAGCTTCTCCAAATAGCAATCACAAGAGACGCAAAAGTGACTGAAAATGTACAGAAAATGCAAGATTGAAAGAAACTCTGGAATCACTCGGAATGCTGTTAATCACAAATAATAACAAAAGAAATTAAAGATTAATAAACAAGGTAATGTTACCTGAAAAAGGACCAAAAACGATGTCTAAAGCAATCGGATTACCCAAGTCAGGCAACATTTTAAAATATACATTTCAGTGTAAATTTAAATGCATTACATTGAATGGAACCGTCAAAGAATGTAAAACGACCACTGAGTGACTTATTATCATTATTTATCATTATTTGCCATTCAGAGGCTAAACAGCGGTCAAACAATTGACAATGTTGGATAAAAGGTTGAGATACAAAGTTGATTGGATTGGAAAGATGAACCTCTAAAGGTAAAAGCATAAAATTGAAAATATTGCATTTCCTTTGATAAATTTATATGGAAAAATTCATAGCAAAGTTTCCCTTGAAAGGCCTTTATATCAAATTATTGCTTCGAGTTTCTTGCCTTCATATTTTGATAATAATAACAAGAGCTGTCGATCATTAGAATTGAGCATTTTTGTTCAACTTTCATTATTATGACTAACATTATTTCATCTCTTTTTACAGTAAAAAAAAGATGCTTTGGACTCACGATGTGAATGAAAATGGCCCAAGGCTTTGAGTGAATTTTGACAACTGGAAGAGCATCAAATCACTACTCACCATTAGGTTAA